TGGGTGGATGACTGGATGTGTAAAGCGCTATACAAATACAGGCCATTTACATATGTCTGAACTGTGGGGGAAAGATGGAGTATACAGGGACAATGTAAACAAGAGAGGCAGATTAAAACCTAGGGCCTCCTTGCTGTGATGTGACAGTACTAATTTCCATGACATTTTGCCTTGCTGGAAGAAAAATTACAAATACAATTACATATAAAAATATATATTCAGTGTAACTTTTGACCTTAAATGACCAAATTGGAGTATGGTGGTGGTCTCATGTCAGTTATCCTCATCAAACACACCACAGTAAGAGCAGCTACATTATATACCTTCCTTGCTGCAGGATTGAGACACCACTTCAGCATTACCAGGACCACAAATGCATAAAACTTCCTGCATACAAAAATACAACACAAAGAATAAATATTTACATACATGTATGATGGATGTGTGCAAATATTTAACATATAATATTCCAGTGATTTTTCACTCAGAACTGTGCTCTTTAGACCAACATTAGGTGACCAATTTTCCAGTCTATAGTCTTGATGCTACTCTTATTTAACATCTTTATATTGGTATCATGTCAGAGGTAACTTTATTATTGTGTTGTTACTCAGACACACAAAAAAATTATAATCTTTCCAGTGTGTGACCTGACAACACTATGGTAACCATTCAAATAAATGTAGTTCACTTTAGTGCGCATACTACAAATGGATTCAAGCATGTTGGTACTATCATTTATTATTTTTTTAAAGTAACCAAAAGATAGCTTATAACAGTGGTTCCCAAACGTTGCGGTATATTTCACACCTCAAACATTAAGTAAACAATTACGCAAATACAAGTAACCTGCAATAAATTACAGGTAGTAAGAAATAACTGTTTTACGCCATGTCCACACCTACACGGGTATTTTTGAAAACGCAGCTGTTTCGTCCTCCCGTAAACGGCGTTTCGAATCACCGAAAACGGAAATTTGTTTAAAACTCCTTTTTTGGTTTATGTGTGGACGAGGAATACAGAGTTAATCATGCAAAGTCAAATTTATGTGCCTTTTTTCACGTCAGCTGTGCGCCACGTTATTGTTTACGTGAGATGAATTGCAGAATGGCAGATAGAGACAAAATACTGTTAATCTGACTCTCTTCAGGTTTTACATGCTTACATATACACACGCAGTTAATGTCCCTCTATTTACAAAGGCAGAGGCCTCACGGTGTGATTATTTTACATGTAGTTTTTTTTCCCTGTGTAATAATATTCAACATATTGCTCATTCAAAAAATGCCTCTCTGTGCAAAATGGGTTTAAAAACATAAACAGCTGTGGGATGCTGTTTGTCTGTGATTTAGACAGAGGGAACAAATCGTGGCAGTATCAGCCTGATATTATTTGTATCCCACTGTAACTTTACTGTATAAAGAGCTAACATCTCCAAAATGTCAGGAGTAATTAGTCATTACAACAAGTGTTTGTGAACTAAAAATCAAGAATGTCGGACACTGTCCGTGACTTGAAGAGCCCAGCGCTGCTCCCAACAAAGGGAAAACCAATTATGCAGGGGAGACCTACCTTGGCACTTGTGCAGGTGAAGCCAAAGGGAAGATATGCTTCACCATATTTTCTAGTCTTTGGCTTAGAATGAAGTTGGTTTGGAAACATATTCAGCTATGCTTTATCTCCTGCTTTGCGTTTGTGTGGCCTTCCCGTGCTAGCAGTGTCCAAGCATTGTGTTTTTTTCCCTTTTCACCCCCGCAATGGTTCTGCGCCCACCCAGGGGGCGGGCCCCACACTTTGGGAAGTCCTGGCTTATAACAAAAGATAGCTGTATGTATGACGTGCAGTCTTGAGTCACACTGATCAGTATGGCTGTTAATATTACGAAAACAGGTTGTTTATTTGGAGAAAACATGAATATTACACAACGCATGACGCATTTTTAGCATAAAGGTTTATGCGAGCGGTGGGAATGAATTCAGACAATGTGGTAAACACCACACCCAACCAAGCCTGCCTGGACATGAGACTTGTGAGAATGGGCACAATATCCAGTGTGACAAACGCTAAGCTGTGGTTTCATCGCTGGCTTTTACGTACATGATCTGTTTGCGAATCCTGAAGTTTGCTATTACCGGTATATTCTTTTTACTGCAATAACTGAGACTGTTTGGTTGTTAACCAAATATAACTTAAACAAAAAGGTTCAATTATCATATTACTCTGATGTAGACATTATATTTGATATGTGACTGTTAAAAAAAATAGACAGCACAGCTGACGCACAAGAGGATGACTGCTTTTTATTAGGATGACAAGTTGTGACGTGAACCCAAATGAAGAAAATAACCCCAACATTAAAGTTGCTTTGTTCAAAGGCTCAAGACATGGGTATTATTCACTGGGATGACTCATGTTAAACACAACTTAATCCAATGCATAAAAGAAGTACGAACTCCATTTTAAAAGATAAAATATATTTTAATTGCCCCTAAACTGGGAAATTGCTGTGATTAGATAAAATAAAATAGAATAACTCACTAAAATAAAATATGGTAAAAGAAAGTGGCTTATTAAGAAGAAAAAAGATGGTGTTCCACAAGTTTAAAAAATCTAACTAGAATGTCATAGAATGTTAAAAGAAAAAATATATATAAT